TAAAATATCAATATTTTTTTTAAGTAAATTAATTTGAAATTTAATAACTGTTTTCTAAATATTTTTTTGGATAATTTCATGACAAGTATATTTCTTTAATTATTTATTAGGTATTCATAAAGTTTTCATAAATGTTGTCATACATTTAACTAGTATCAATTTTATTATTTTTATTTATCAGGTATTTTGTTACATTCTGTATATCATATTATACAATTTCTTTTAATTTTTAACAGGGCTGTACAATGGACATTCGTCAACAAACCAGTTGTAAACTTGTATCTTTTTTAAGTCCAAACAACTGAAATAATTCTAAAATAATAAACTAATAACTAGGGCTCGGATTTAAATGCCCTAAAAATATCAAAAAAAATGCCCTTTCAAAAAATGCATTTATGACCTAAAAACTCTAAAAAATGCATAATTTATTAAATAAATTCAAATTTAATTATTATTATAAAATGAGGAACAAATAAAATTCTAATAAAAATTATAAATTATATTACAATGTACAAAAAAAAATTAAAATTAAATTATATTTGCACTGCATTGTACAATAAGAATTTCTTTAATGTTTTGAAATTTAAATGATCGACGGTTGTCTGCCAATAAGTCATAATACGACAAATAGGTCAAAAATGTCCTAAAAAATTTAAAAAATGCATTAAAACCGTCAAAAATGCCCTAAAAATGATGAAATCCGCTAAAAATGCAAAAAAGCAAAAAAATGCCCCAAAAAATTACTATGGTTAGATTGCGAAGTACTTGAAACATATTTGTAGCTTGGAAAGCATCGAGTAAGATATCCCAAAAAAAATATGCAAATGCATTGAAATCCGAGCCCTACTAATAACTAATGTTTGATATACCAAATGTCGAAAACAATGTACTTATTTTAAATTTAAAATGAACATCATATTTAGAAATATTAATTTACTCAAAAGATGCGAAAGAAGATTCGTGCTATAATAATAAAACCATGCACTAAACCATATTCAATTTAAATCAGTTATTTATCTTATTATATACTTATTAGTTATTACATACTGCATCAAATGCATCATTGTGTAGTTAGGGGTTTTCTATAATTGAAAATAAGAAAATAAGAACATTACAAATTACAATAGTGTAGCTACATAATATAATTATTAATAATAGCTATAGAATATAATAATAATATATAAATTATAATAAAGGAACCTTGACTTTCGTATTCGTTGATACTCTATATCTCATTATTGTTGATAGCAATATTAATCATATTATTAAGTAATAAGATGATTGATAAGTACCTATTCAAAGTATAAAAATATCTATACAGATGATAAAGAATACCGTAATGAATGATTTTAATTGTTTTTAAAATTTATTCTGGCAACAATCTTTTTGTTTTTACAATGTTACGATTATTAAATTACAATATTACAAATAATAATTGTATTGAAAAATGTATATTATTATATTATTATTATATAAGAAACGTAAATTAGTAGCTTATAATATACAACATTAACAACAATTATACATTGAAGTTTGAAATCTCGTCAGGTGTGATAGAATCCACCTTTAGGAACATTATGGATTGATTTTTATATTATGCTGAGGACAAAGGTAGTAGTTATAACCACAACAATTAATATTTATTTAACTTACAATTTAATTAAAAATAAAATATAACAGTAGTTCATCTAAACTAATTTTGGATTTAAAATCATATGGCTTAAAAAATTAAACTATAAATACCCAATTATGTAGACAAGTTTATGAATTTAATTAGGTATTACATTATGTTTTCAAAATAATATGTTTCTTGATTATCGGAAGTTCCACAAAAGGGAATTTATAAAACTACAAGAACATAATTGTCATTAAATAAAGTTAAAGTTTGAGTTTAAGTTTAAAAGTTTAAGTATAATACAAGTATTTCTATAAAGTTTCATTTCGAAAAACTAATTTTTTGATTAAAAAATGTCTATTAGAAAAGTGTTTGTGGGTTTTATTTTATTGCATGATAGATGTAACGTAATACAAATAGATAAATAGGTTATGAGTTATGAGTAAGTAATGTAGCTCAAATAATAACATTAAAACTAATGAATAAAATCACTTAACATAATGTTATTTAATATTTTTATTTTTTCAATAAATATTTTTCACTGGTTTCATCTATAAATATAATAATATACAATTATTATGAACACGACTCACGAGTACCTAAAAATAGAGTGGACACCAATGTTTCCGTGTTAGCTATCGTTTGAAGATTTTACCACGGCATGGCACACACATCGGCTAGTATCTAATATATCTATAATATTTAATATTTAAATGGAGATTTAATTTCGATTCGATTTCAATAAACTAGAAAGTTGAAAATACAAATAAATATTGTATTAACCATTCAGAAGTGTAATTTAAAACATACGATGCGTATCTACTATTAAATAAAAACACAATAATAAATAACCGTAATGCTGGAATGACGAGGCCAGCAAGTTTAAGCATATTTAAGAATATAGCACGCATTAAGCATATTTTACAATTTTGAATCATAAAAATATAATACCCATGAGTGTGGGCCGTCAAAGTATATCAATAAACCTTGGACGTTATCTGTAATAAAACATTAAACGGCGTCACTGAGCTCAGAATTATTAACATTGAGCGGACAACTCGTGAACCTGACCTGTGCTGATAAATGATTACAATATGTCTTCGCGGAACATAACATATTATACAAAAGTATATCTATTTACAATAATAAATTTCGAAGTCTGAACACATATCCGGAATCGTATTAAAATGATGAATAAATATCACGGAAGTATTTTTTGTGCAAATTAGTTTTTATTGTTGTGACGTTGGGTGTATAGCCTACGTAAAATGATAATAAAATATTATGTCCGCCTTACTAATATAATATTATGCGTGCGATGCACGCGATATGCATATTACGACAAAAGAGATGATGTTTTTTTCTTTTGGGTTTTTTTTCTATTCTGGTCTTTAATTTACTATAATGCACACGTACGCTAAAATGTGTACGCCGCGTGCTTATTAATAAACATTAAAATTGCACAGACATTTCAGCATTATTTTGTATAGTAACATTGAGCTTATAGATTTTACATATTTCCTATATTATATTATTATGTAGAATGTAGATGTAGAACAATACTAAACGGTGTTTGACGATATTTTAATTTATAGAACAATTGGTGTAATGGTGTACTGTGAACACATTTAGGTGTACAGCCGTACAGGCATTTCAATTATTTTTTTTAAGCTATTGCACCTGCAGCTGTTGCACGCAGCCAGTCAACTTCTGCGTACGAGATATTATAATATTTTTTTTTCAAATACATAAATTAATGTAGCGCAAGTGGTGACGAATGGATTGTCAATTGGGTTCTCAGTTCTTTACTAAAATCGAATTTTACTTTAAAAAAGTGTATGTAGAGTTTAACAGATTTCGACGACTGTGAATATGTATACATAGGTACTAGTTGCCGAGCTCGCATTTACGAGAATACGATTTAAAGTTTACTGTCCCAAATTGAGAAATTGTGATCTCTGTAGTTGTCCCACTAAATTTGGCCTACGAGTCATCAAATTAAATGTAGGTAATGGCCATATGGGACAACTAACCGGTAACGAATTTGAAAAATCAGGTCTACCACATTGGTTTGCTATTTTATTTACAGTTAAAATTTAACCAAAATTAAATTTGTTTTAATTTGTCAATTATTTTCATTAATTGATGGGTACCACAACCATTCCAGAGACCACATTATATCTATATTACGCAACAAACAAAGTGTGTTTTATTTAAAATTATTAGGTATCTATTTAGTAACTATTTACTATTTACCTAGGTACGTATTATTAATTATTTTCTGAAAAATAAAAAAAATTTAATCAACACTTAACAAAACCCACATACTATAACATAATTATTTATTAGTATAATAAATATCTGTACGTTATTTAGTTAACTTGCATATAAATATTTATGTTTCATATGAAAATAATAATTGCCATTCGAAAAGTGTACGTTGTCGTTGTGTAGCGTCATTGTTAATAAATATTTCATACAATATAAAGAGTAAATAAACATTTTAAAAAGAACTTATATTAAAAAAAAAAATACTTACTATAAATAACCAAAATTATAACAAGAATTATAATTATATAATATTATTATATAGCCATACAGGTACGGTATTTCAAATTTAAAGAATGTATTTTTAACGAATAATATTTAAATATGGGTTTGATTGGTATTTTTTGTTTTCATGTACTCTGGGCTAGTTAATAATATGGATTTTATACTATACTAATAATAAGCATAAATGTACATTATAATCAATAATAGTAGCTATAAGCAACAATTCTCCGTTTTCAAGATAATCAGTGATTGGTCGCCGATTTTTTAAACATTCGTTACATTTTTCGATTTCATATAGTTGCATACCATTTTTTGGTAGATTTAGTTATTTAAACGTACGAACCAAACGCCGTGACATTTTACACACTAGATTTAGCCATCAAATGATTGCTTTCTCTGTTATGACTATGTATTACGACACACAATTTACAATAGTAATTTAGTATTTTTGTAATAATGCACTAATGTAGTATTATAATTTATATTTTTATGTTCCAACTCGACAAATGGATTATACCTAGTTTGTTGTCCTACTCGATATAAATATTATAAACACTTCTTTCGCCTCGAGAAAATCGAATAACGTTACCTGTGGGCTGTAACAGCTGACAATTGGTTATTCGTAATTAACAGAAAGATATAATATAATGCTACTATACCTACGTGTCTAAACGTTTGTCGTACAAAATGTTTAATACGATTTTTTAGGGAGCTCTATTAACAGGACCGAATCCTATTAAATCAACACCGTTGACCGCGCGAATAAATCACTATTATAACACAAAGTGTGCTTACAGGTCTAAAATTCAGTGATCGAACAGCAAAAAGAAAAATGCCTTGTCGCTACCAACCGGGAAGTCTGCTGAGCCTATCAGAGGACAGAGTCGTGTCCGATCTGGTGCAGACATGCTACCAGATGCACGAGCTGGCCCGTCGCAACGGGTACGCGTCGCCGTCGCAGACGTTCGCGTTCGCCCGACACCGGATCCGGCCGTTTTGGGCCGAGGCTGTGCCCGCGCTTGTCCGCCGCCAGTTGTTGACCAAGTGCATGGCCGTGCTGGCGGATGCAATCCGCGAGGGCCACTCCGTCAGCGCGGCGGCCGACAACGTACCGTTGTACCTGCTTGGCGTGATGCTGGACGGCGACGTCAGGGAACTGAGGGTTCAACTATGCTGTTACTACGGGTGTAGCCACCAGACCGCTTTGCTCAAGCTGCTGGCGCAAGAAGCCCGGGGCCTAGAGTCTCTAGAGCTGGTCAGGCCGACGCTACTACGTTTAGGTATAATATATTATAGTATTATGTACCTACCGCCTGTATTCTTATATAAAGGTTCGGATGTTTATGCAAATAAACTTTTACCTAAAAAATAAAAATACCCAAATTAAGCACACAAAAAATTGTTTAAAAATGTATATTGCTTAGCTATAGCTATATTTTATAGATATTTTAAAATTAAAATACTAAAATGTAATTATATTACACAAATATAGTAATATTATGCATTTATATTCTAAAGTTCCAAAAATATATATTTATAAATAGTAAACTGAAAAATATGTAGGTATATAATTTGATTTGATTTTGATTAATCAAATGTGTAACTATATAATATAGGCTATAGGTTAGCATTTAATTTGATGAAGAGAACAAAACATTCAATTTCATAAACATCCGAGCTTCTAAGTGTATTTTACACGCGACACGCCCTATGCTCATAAGAGGACGCTACCCATACATTTGTTGTCTCCGTCTTACACACACACGACATACCAAATTGTCGTTCACTAGTTTCAATAGTGTGCTGTTAGTTTTGATATTAGAGTGATTTGACCTATTATAAAAATTTTAGGTAAGAACATGTAAGCGTTGCTGATTTTTCAAAATTTTCATTTTCAAGCAAGATATGGGTATATGAAATATCAAAAATTAAAATATGGAATAAAAGCCAATGCTTAAGCACAGATAATGTTATTATCCAAAAAAATTATAATAGGTCAAATCACTCTAATATCAAAACTAACAGCACACTATTGAAACTAGTGAACGAAAATTTGCTATGTCGTACCTGTGTGAGACAACAAATGCATGGGTAGCATCCTCTTATTTCTTAATGACGGCGAACAATATTCATTGTTATTATTGTTATTACAATTTACGGTGATCAACAAGTAACAACGCCGATAGTCTTGTATATTATTCGATCATATAAGTATACGACCACACTGAGAACAATAGACAATACACAGCACTATGTCTATTGCAATACTTAAGTGCATACCTATTGGCCTATTACCTATTATGTGTGTATTTGTATATAGGTAGTGTAAAGTTTAAAACGTTGATAACTGTTTGAATATTTTGAGGAAATCTCAAATCATTAATTACCTACACTATGAAAATATTTACAATTTACATAAAATTGACTACCTATCAGTAAACCGATAAGGAAATAAATATGATGAATTATTTTACTAATAGTGAGTTTCGAATATAATATTATAACAGTAATGATAATGAGGGTTTTGAAATGGATTTTTTCACAGAATACTTGCGCATCACTAAAATTGTCTTTCAATAAGTGTAGATAGATTTATAATTTCAGCCGTTATACATTTTATAAATGTATTTTTGTACGTTTATATTCTATTATTTTTTTTACGGATTTCGGAATTAAAGATATATATTTTAAAAATGACTTATGTTCTGAATTTCTGAATAACAGCCGATTTGTGTGAAAAATAAAAATGTATGATGATGACGACATTTGTAGCTAATACACAATGACACCCTAATACAATATTATGGCGTTCGATCTTGTAAAATGTATTATAATCTTATAACTTTTAAGAGGATATCAGTGTACTATTTGTTCTCTCTCTCTGACTCATGCGCAACATACCAAATTTACATTTAGCAGAACCAAGTAACCAACCCAGTGTTAGTTATTACTTTTAAATTTTAATATAAGTGTTGTAAATCAAAATTTAAGTTAAGAACATAATCTGTGTCCCTAAGTTAGCTACCTTATGATATTTCAATTTTTATGCAAGTTAAAGAGAGCAAATTATTATAATTTAAAAATGTTTATAAATTGTATGAAAATTAAAATATTGTAATAAAATCCAACGTAGGAATACAGATAATGTTTTTAGCTTAGAGTTTGATAGTTCACTATTGTCTATTCTACTCTAATATTAAAAGTAATAAGACAGGGTCATTGGTTCTACGAAACATACATTTACCAGATTGTGCTTGGTCCAGAGAGAAAAAACAACTACATTGACATCCTCTTAAGGTCATAAAAACATGAATACATTTTTTATTATAATGTATAAGATATTTTTAAGAACATTAACATCCATGTCGTAGTATTTTCACAAATCATACTACAAAAATATTAAGTTTATAAAAAGTCATTAACGGCAACAACATGGTGGACAGATTTTTAATTGGACCAAAAACACTATAGACTAAATAATAATGCATGCTAAAACTATTATAAATATTTTTATATTTTCAAATAAATTATTATTCATATTTTTCAGATACACAATTATTTCAGTCGGTATTGTTATCAATGAGTAATTTGAAACGTTTAGTTTTAAAAAATATAGCTTGCGATAAAATTCTCAAAACTATTGGACAATCGTGTTCTCAACTGGAAGTACTAGATATATCTCATTCAAGTCAAGTAACAGATAACGGTATAAAACACCTTTTACTACAAATTGAAATTAAGGACAAAACAAACAATTTCAATAAACGTAACATTCATTCAACAACAAAAATATCCTGGTGGGACGTTATAAAAACACTATCAAAGTAATTGTACACCAGTAGAATTTATTCAAATCTATTATCAAATTTTTAAATATACCTAAATAATTTTGTTTTGTTTTCAGAAAAATTAAAATTAAAACTGGTCGACGAAATAAAATAAACGATTTTTCATTTCTCCTGGAATATTGTCAAAAATCAACAAAGCTGTGTTCTACATTAAACACATTAAATATTGCCAATACTAGTGTCACTAGTAATGGAATCCTAATAGCTTTACAGAATATACCAAATTTAGAAACTCTAGGTGAATACTGTCATATTGGAAAAGCTTTAGAATTATTGGATAAATCCACAATACCGTCAACTAAACTTCAACTGACAATGGCTAATGCATGTCGTACAACTTCCTCAAGACTACAAGTACTTTGCAACACATGTACAAAATTAAACAGACTGACTATCACTGAGCCATTGCATTCGCCACTCATGCTAAATCAACTTCCAAAAACACTAACAATTATAAATTTACAAAACGTTCCTACCGAGCAAGCATGGTTAGATGGCTTGTACACATTTCTTTTAGGGCCACAATCGCAAGTTCTGCGAGAGTTGTTTTTAAAATTTCGAAGAGATGAAGTTTCACTAACAATTGACTTGAGTATTTTCTTACCTCAATTGGCCAATCTCAAAACATTATCAATTGATGGAGTGGAATCATCATTATATTCAACTTCATCAAATATTACATTAAGAAAACTTGAAAAAATCCAACTTAGTAAAGTCGACCATCCAAATACTTTGCAACGATTAATAGAATGTACACCAGAACTGAAAGTATTACATGTCTATACTTGTTTGGGATTAAACAGCTTAAATTTCATAGAATTACTTAGTTCTAAAGATACAATTCCGGCAAAACAAGTTTCAAAAAGTTTAAACTGCCTGTATATTAATGATTTGCCACATGGAAATATTAACACGGTTAAAAATATCATAGATTTGTGTCCAGAAATAAATAAAATTGGTAATATTAGTAATTGGGACATTAGTCAAGAAGAGATAAAAGAATTGAATATGTGGAAACATCAAAATAATTTTAAATTAGAACTACATGCAAATTCTCATTGGTTCTGTTCAGAATGTTTTCCTATTTTATGATATTTCATAAAATAATAATTTATTAAATATTTAAATATTGTTTTATAATATGTATAAATATATTAGAGATTGTAAAACTATTAGGCAGTTATATTGAATGTTGCATAATGCTTATTATATAATATTGTAAAATATACAATAGACATAATGTAATAATATATAGTAATTAATAATTATTGTCTTATAGATATTAATTAATATTTAATATTTATATATAATGTACTACAATGAAGTAGAAAAAATCAGATTTGTAAAATCTGTATCAGATTATTTAAAAAAAAAACTTTGTTGTTGACTAACAATTTATAATTATGTGAGATGTGACTAAATTATAAATTTTCTAGAACAATATAGTTTTATATTTTATTTTTGAAAATAATTGTGTTTTATTCATATTTAATATTAATTATTATATAGAAGTGGCTGAAGAACATTTCTGATTCCCTTTAAAAAATATATATTTGTGGCCCAATAACCTTGGTAATAACAGGTAAACAAAATACTGGACTAGTAGCAGGTAGAATCTAAATAAACAAATTTTAATTCAATGTAACATTGAGTGAAAAAAATTAATATAAATCCCATAAAGTATAGGTAGTCCCCTTTTAATAAAAAATTTTATTTTAATTTATCTTAAAATAAATTATCAAAATATGAAAACAATTATACCTAATGATAATTTAAAATAATATTTAGCTGTTTTTCAAAATATTATTAAAATGTCAAAAGGCACAATCGATATACAGCTTTGAATAACTTTTAGAACTAAAAAATGTATTGTTTGTGCACATACTTAAAAAGCAACAATAGCTTTTTATTGTCTTCTGTGAAAGTAATATGTTACTGTTTTATTTGTTTGATCAAAAATGTAATGTTACGAGTCACCTACTAGTACCTAGTACATACATTATACAGTAATCTGTTTTTTAACCTTCTTTTACCATGCGATACATCATAGTAGGTAAAAGATATTTACATATTTGTCACGTTTCCAACAGTATCATTTTATATTTTTATGCAAACAAAAAATTATTTAATATTATTTTTGTATTACACGCCTAAGATACAAAACAAACATCACCAAAATTATTTTAATATCAACTTATACAATACAATGTAGCTCAATAAGGTATGTTATATCATATTATATACAATTTATTTTACAATGAATCATAAAATATATTACTCATAAAAATGATAGCATAGTTTGTTACACTGAAAGTCAAAAACAGTTGTTGGAAGGAAAGTAGTGAGTAAAAATGATTCTAATTTTAGTTGTAGAATGTATATAATTGCTGAAGGTTAGGTTTTCTAAGAATATTATTATAAAATAAATATTTATCATGAAAGATAATATATACCAATATACCTAAAGGTATTTTCTGTATTAATAAGGTTACGTATTTTAATGAAAAGATTTAATTTGTATAATGATATTTTTTTATGAAGACATCTCAGTGTCTCACATGTGTGTGCTGTCTCCATATTGCAAGTGCATAGCAATATAGATAGCACATCAAATTAACGTTTAGAGTTCTCATTTAGCTTAGCACAGTGAATTTATTAAACTCAAATTAAAAAATACATCAACATTCAACATACTCTGTGGCTTATTGGAAATATTATTTTGATATTTTAATTTTGAAACAAGTTATAAGCATGTAAAATATTACAATATAAAAATGCTCATAACTAGTTTCAAAATTAAAATATAAAAAAAAACACTCCCAACAAACCACAGAATATGTTTTTACCTTTAAATCTGCCAATAGGTAAAATCACTCTCATATTAAAACTAACAAAGCTAAATGTGAACTGCTATACGTAAATGTATGAAATTCAACAAAAATGTTTTGCATTTTTAAGACGGAGACAATACTGTGGGTGAGAAGTTGTCAATATTTTAGTATATACTAGATGTACGCATACATATTACATACAAATTAAAATAATAAAAGAAACACATTCAACAAAAGCTAAGTCTATCTAATCAAATACAATTATCTTTAAACATATAATAATATTTATTTTATTATTTTAATAATAATACTTTTTTGGTAGGCAATAAGTAATAAACTAACTAATAGCTATTCTAAAATAAACTATTAACAGTTATTAAATCTGTTTTAGTATTGAAATATTATATTTTATTGTATATTTTCATTTGATAGTTTGATTCATGGCATAATTTATTTGTTATGGTTTCATTAATGTGCATATTTTAATTCATAATTAATTATTTACCATAATTTCACTTTATGTTAGGCTATTTTTTTAAATGTCTTTAAAACTAAAAGCAACTAGGATTTGTGATGTAAATTGGTTAGATTCATCCATAAAACAATTATTTTCACTGTAATATACTAATATATACATTCAATAATCCACCACCATCGGCACCATCTAATTGTTGTCAGTACAAATTGAATATATCATTAAAAAAATAATAAATACATTTCTTCAAAAGTAAAAACAATTTTGTAATGTTTAGATTTTTACATCACTATTTTTAAGTAAAGACAATTTTAGTTTTAAGACTGAACAGAATATTTTTTACACTTTTATTCTCTTAAAATGTGTATTATGACAGTTGTAGGTATTGTAATTTTTAATTCAGGTAGGTACCTAAATTGGTTGAATTATTACTGATTACCTCTATTAAAGATGACGGCAAACATCAAGATTATTAAAAAAAACATTTAATTAACTACATACTAAACAGGAACTTTTTCAAAAGCAGAACTTTTTAATTTATGTACATATATCATAGGTAAATATAAGAAAAACTAGAAAATTTTATTAGGACAGGCCAAATGATAAATATGAAAAAAAATTCTATTTACAAAATAAGTTATTAATTTTAATTTTAAATTCTATTAAGTTAGAATGTTATCCAGTCAGTATTGGGTCAGGCTATGGCCAGTCAGGCCTGACCCGCAGTCTCACTTTTGTGGGTAAAATAAAGTTTGGTCTAAAGAAATTATACAATGATTATAAATATTATAATATTATTACACTGATAAAGATATTTGTCTCTGACTCTTTTAATGGTAATTATTTTACATGTCAATGTAAATTTATTACAATAGTCTCCGTAGCTTAAATCTCAAGAAAGATATTATTACATTTTACTAACATATTTTTGAGGTTTATAACTCAAATAAAACTTTTTTAAGTTTATACTCTATAGAAAGCCACAATTTTATTTGGTATTTTTTGGTTTTGTATTTCAAATATCTAAGATCCAATTTAGGGGAATAATTTATAAGTTAAAATATTAGTGTTTATCCAGTATATAAACAATCAATATATTATGTACTAAAGTTTAGATAAGAGATAGATAGAGACAAGTGCGTAATATACAAATATGATGTACAAGAACAAAATATACATTCTGTATATAAACCTCTACTAAATATTGCTACTGGTTTCACTAAAACTATTATAACTAACAAAACTATCACTATGATACATAATATGTAGGTACATATAAAGACCCGTCTGGTATGATCACACAAAATAATGTTATTGAGATGACAATACAAATTTTAAAATGTTTATTGGAAAATGTAAGCAATTCGTTTTGAACGTACTTAAACAAACTTTACACAAACTGAATATTATGGTTATAGTTTCTCACCTCACGAAATCCATGGTTTGCGAGTAAAGTTAACACCAATTTTGAGTCAACATTTAATAATTTAAATGACATATTGACCAATTTCCAAGGAACGTCATCCAATGGTTGATCCAACGCTGATGGATAAAAAACACACGTTTTGTTACCATTTGAAGAATTATTGAAGACATACTTTGTGCAATCGTTGTTATTTTTCCCACCCTTTGAAGTGTTGTTCATTTTGCCTTAAGAAAAGTACTAAGTCGCAATACGATAATGCAAATCTACACAATAATCTAAACATTCGTGATTAATTGATTAATTTTTGTGAAATAATTTGATTGTAGGTAGGTAACAATGTATGAACATCATCGCATTGATCTAACATAGACAAGTAATTTGTGTAGCCTATATCTATTATCTGAAAAATAATAATGTTATCATAGCATCGCCATTTGGCAATAATAATAATAATGAAAAGCCAAAACTATGGTAATGAAAGGAAATAATGATTTTTAAAAAACAATAACCATTATCAAAAGCAGTGTTGTGTGTTTGTTTATGTTTTACTATCACTATGGTTCTTATCATAATTTAATATAAAATATATTTCATTATTATAATATTATTATTATGCACCGACTTCCATTATACTTAATACTACATTAGTACACTACGATTACCACGAATCAAAATATAATATTAAGGTATATCTTAATTTCGTGTACACTACTATAATATATAAATACTATAAAAAAAATCTGTGATATTATACGATAGATAATATACTTATACCATAATATAGTACATATATGATATATAGTATATTATACATTCGGTTATATATAAAAAAATACAAATACAAAACACAAAAGGTTTATTGGTTTCTTAGATCATAGTATACTAGTATATGATCTAAGATTTGTTTCAATGCATTATAAGTAGGTAGGTATTATGTATAATATATTAATATATACATAACACATAATATGTAGGTATAATACATAATATCGTATAACAATATTATAATGGACAGTAGCCTATAAATCTATATGAAATAGGCTCTCTCACGGTCACAAGACCACGGGCTCTTAAGTTGTACCTACCTAATAAGTAATTGTTATTGTGAAGCAGTAAAGTATAAATGATCTACCATCTACGCATTTCATCATTGCACACAATTGTTCAAATTACGGTGCCAGTGTATACCTACCCATACTATATAGTTGTAGTAATCACTCTATGAATGCATTTTCAATTTAAAGCGTTTTTTCGCAATAATATCTCGAAGCGGTGTATTAATGACGCTTGTTTATCGATTATCGATTTACCTATGGAAAATAATACAAGTTCGAAAACATCGTTTTAAGTTTTCACTAAATACGTCCGACGCACGGCTGCTAATAAAATACAATAGGTACCACTGATAAATAACAACTCAATTTATCTGCAATCCGACATTCCTAGTTAAACGAAATTGATATTTGATGAGATATGGGGATTGGGGATATTGTGAATAGCCTTGGAGTAATGGTATGTATTTAGGCTTCGGTGTTTCACAGTTCACACTCACACAATCACCTTATAAACAGATTTCGAATATTAATTTGATTTACATCATATTTATCATATTGTTTTCATTGATATGTCAGCCTCAGCAATCAACAACCAAAGTCTCTTCTTTCTATAGTTTCGCCTATGTGATTAAGTTATATAGCCGAATCAATTTTAAATGACAACAGTTTAGTATTTCGTTGATACACCTCATACCCATGCCGCCATACCTACCACAATTCTTAAAAATGTACATTCAATAAATTCAAATATTGTCATTGAAAAAGTTTTCCTCCCGTAGTCACAATGAACCGGACGAGACGACAATAGTGGTATCCACTCTCTTAATAGTTGAACGTTGATACCATAATATAATATTAATTATAGTAGGTAACAATCTTTGATTATTATTACTACCTAGTAGTTATTTAATATTTTTAGTAAAACTTTTGATATAATATTGGCCACATACGATCATTATTTACTGAGATATTATAATTAATATATTGTAACGTCGAAGTACAAAACTATTACAAAGTAACTGACTTTTATGGTACTTAACACAGTGTACACCAAATATAGAGAAAAACGTTACGAGATCCGTTGACTATAGTAGTTTAAACTTACGTATTAATTTTGTATGAAGATTGTGTTACAAATTACAATTCGTTACGAGATCCGTTTAAATATAATTAACAATTATCATACTAAAAGTCTCGCACACCCAAGATAGTTGAGTTATAGGTACTCTGCGAATTCCACATTAATACATTGTATATTAATTATATCAATTGATTTATTTTTCACCAAAATACCAAACGTAAATAAGAATACGTTACGAGATCTTTAGTTACGTTACATCGTTACATATTACATGTAGATATTATAATACCTATACCTAATTAATAAATTGCAATAGGCAATAGCCAACAAGTATACCTAAATAATTGCATCGGATGTCATATTTTGTCGTCATGAGATGCGATCAAATTCATCGGTCTGGAAGGGGCTCCAGCGTATCATTTTCTAAGGAGTAATATTTAGGCAATTCACATGTCTATGTGTGATTATATTTGTATGTGTTTCCGAGAATCGGGCCGCATCGGGCAACTCTTGCAAGTGCACGCACATAATAATATTATGTCAATACTTCCTCGGAAAATGAAATATTATATTCTTGTTTGCAAAATTATAAAAACTACTAAACGAGGTAGTAAATTAAACATACTTCCTGAAGTTCGATTGCAATTTCGAAAAACTGGTTGAACTTATGAGCTACTGGAACATATGCTCTTTAAGAATCACTTTTGTATTTAAAATCAGCTGATGTGCAAAAAATAAATACGAATGTAATGCAATTATTTCATGGGATTTTTGAAAAAAATCTAAAATTTAGGGTCCTTTCAATTGAAAATTGACTTCCTATTTACTAGTCTCGTTGACGCGTTATATTGTGTTTTGATAATCTAATTCTGAAATATAAACTCTTGTATATATGATATGTAGATATATCAATTATGTATACTGTATAACTTATATACTGTGTACATTTTTGTCATTGGTGCACATTAAGTTACGGAGTTAAAAAAATTCATTAACTTGCCAGCCTTGGATAAAAGTACTGTGCACCGGACTTTGGACATGCATTGGGGACACTGTGATCAGGGCTCCGGCCTTAATACGCCCCTGCAGGCACACGGATATTATATTATTATCATAGGCGTAGCGTGATGATTTTTTTTTTTTGGGGGGGGGGGTCTATAGCCTTTTTTATGTGGTACGTCGGAACTTTTTGGGAATTATTTCCCAAAAGGGCTATAATGTTTCGGATACAGAACATAATATTCTAAAAATATAACTATAGTTTGATTATAGATTGATTCTATCCATAACTCATTATTCCAAAAACTATTATCTTTTTTTTTTTAAATTTATAATTTCATTAAAAAAATATATATAATTATTATTATAGGTACTTTCAATATATATTTTTTAATTTTTTAATAAAAACATGCATTTTTTAATTCTTTAATTCTTCTTAATAGATGGTGTCACACCCGCATGCATTGTCTCTGTCTTACAAACGTAGAACATAGCAAAAAATGCACTTGTACAGGACAACTTTTCTCCCTCAGTATTTATAATAGAATTATCAGAATTTCACAATGCATGATGGGTAAAAACTTTATCTGTGTCATATCGTCGTTATTTTTTTAATAACATAAATATAATTAAATTAATAAGCTTAAGAAAATACATTTATTTTTTATTTGTTCATATAATTTCTTAAAATTATTGGTTTGTGCCATCAAAAAAATAACGACGCTATGACAGATAAAGATCTTACCTATGCGTTGTGAAATTCTGATAATTGTATTATAAATACTGAGGAAGAAAAACTGTCCCACGCAAGTGCATTTTTTGCTATGTTCTACGTTTGTAAGACGGAGACAACGCATGTGACATCCTCTTAATGCTTTATTCTAATAATAATAAATATGAAGACTCTAATACTTTTTTTTAGTATAAATCAAATTTTATTTATAAGTGAATATTTTCTAAATTATAGGGTATTTTACCCAGTAAAATTTTTACTAAAAATGTGAATACAATTGTATGTATATGCTGACTTTATGTTTTAATGTAATAATGTAGAAACTTGAGTTGCTCAGAACCGGAGGAAAATCTGCTAAACATATGATCCAAAAAATGATGAAAAAAGTGTTTTCAGATTTTGTATTAAAAGATTTCACATATTTTGGATTGAGAAACAAATTTAATTTTTCTACATTATTGATCAACAAAGTTATTTTTGGTAATAATAATATTGGAATTATTAATTATAAATAATAATTATAATAATGTATTTTAGATACTATACAGCAATCAAAATTCCAAATCATAAAAGATGATGAAATAATATCAATCATTGGAAAATGGTTAACAACAGCTAAAGCCAGAATTGAAAATAAAAAACAAGCAAAAGATGCCAGTAACTCCTTACAAACAGAAGAAACACTATTATAATGTTCATGATATTTTCCTAACAGTTAGAATATAATAAATCTAAATCACACTTATTACTTCTTATTTAATGTAATAATTATTTTTAACTTCTTGTTCCCTATTTATGAATCTTGTTTAAAAACTATTATGTTAATGTACATATTATATATATATATACTAATTGAGTTTATGTTTTTATAAATTTAATATATGTATTATAAAAACATAAACTCAATTAGTATATATTGGGGATTTAATATATGTATTATAAAAACATAAACTCAATTAGTATATATTGGGGTATATATTATATTATATTATGTACCATATTAAAATAAAATTAAAAGAAATATATAAATATTTACTAATTATAAATAAATTGATATCAGACAAATATTTGAACATAATTATTCTAATTATAAATTATATTTAAAAAATGTGATATTCACAAAATAAAAAGAATTTAATATTTCTTTGATATTACCATTTAAATATCATTTGGATATTTTATGTTGTTTATGTGAGCAATATGAAAAGTTGGTTCATAAGACATCTGTACAATATCCTTATAATATCAAAAAATACGACAGAGACATAGTACAGATATTAAATTAATATTAAAAACACAGTGAAGATATCCGGTGGATATTTGTATGATATGATTATGCTGTATGGCATTATGCTGTATTATGCTGTATTATGCTGTATAGACAAATGTAAAGGAAAAAAATATAAAAAGGATTAATGAAGCCCATTTTAAAGTAAAATATAAATAAATAATATACCAATAGGTACAGCATATTATTATCAAATACATAATTTGAATTTGAATTAAATATATAAAAAAAAAAAACATTTTAAATTGAAAATTATATTACTACCTATAGTATAAGGTTTAAGCTTTAAACGCCTTCTTTTTTGGGCCAATATATTAAGACAGTGTCGTAGCCAGGGAGGGGTTGATAGGGCTTCAGCCCCCCCTGACATTTTAAGAAAATTTAAAAATTATTTTTTTGGTCCATGATAGTCGCTCAATAAGTCTTGCATTATATTTAAAATATTTAAAAATTTACCTATAAGTATTAACAATTTTCAGCTATCTATCTGTGCACTTACGTATTTAATGTATAAAAGTGTAAAAGTTGATCCCCCCGAAAAAAAATTCTGGCTACGCCACTGTACTAAGAACATCTTTAGGATTAATAATAATATTTCAAAATGAACTAACGACAGAATTAGTCGTAGAATTTCTAAGGCATGTTTTTCGATATAATGATAGAAAAAGTGTTCAGTTCTCATATAATATGAACGTATAAAACAGTTAACTTTTACACGGTAAAAATGTAATTCTGAAAATAATTATTCTAGTATTATTTTGGCTTGACATTTACACCCCTATTTATTAAGGCAATATTTACACGTTGTTTAGTTCAACTATTATTTAGTTTTAACTTAAATTTCTGTATGAATTATATATTTTACCTAGCATAAAAAATTTAATTAATTAAGTAGGTAACCTACCTATGTTGTTTAAATTGTTACATTTAATTAAATGTGTATTTTTATGTCATAACAACCGACTAATAAACAGGGCTTAATATTATCGTTTACCTATACGGTATATTATCATTTTAATATTAACACTTAACAGACAAACAAATACACAATTATGCCGTCAAGCAATACATTAGAATCATTAGATGATGCAGATTTAAAATCTAGACTGGCTCGCTTTGGTATAAATCAGCCGATTACAAAGACCACTATAAATGTTCTGCATAAGAAACTCTTAAAATTAGAAATGGACTTTCAAAGGAAGCAAAACAATCGATCGATTAAACTTGGATGTGAATCAATGGTAAATGAATACAATTTCAACACAAATTAATAATTTTAAAATTACTATTATATTTTAATTTACTATTTAATTACTAATATACAAAATGGAATATACACAGATATTGTGAATAAGGCTTAATTACATGACTTTATGCGTTATGCCATTATTGAATGTTTTAAAAACATGGCTTATTAGTAAAGTTATTTATGTCATAAGTACCTACTGATAGTCTATAATGCCTATACGCAAGGGCTTTTGGTACAATAATTGTAGTTTATAGCTTCCTACAAGGCCATTTTTTAATTTTTTTTTATGAAACATGAATTTCAATGAGTTATGGACGATGGTGCAAAAAAAATTTTTGCGAATCATTATTTTGGAAGTTAAATCGTTTTAATAAGATTGCGATTTTACGTTTGTACTCATGCGCTTAACATTGTGTTAATATGTTTACCGTGCTTATAACGAATTTTACAATTTTTATTGGGGACCTTACAACGTGTTAAGATCGATGGTACAAAAATAAATTGGAGGAAATGATTAATTTATAAGTTATTGCATTCAGTGGGTAATGTGGGGGTGATGGATGGGGCGAAATCCCCCTTCTTATTTAAGGAAAGATTATGCGTCCTCTTTAATTTAAGTTTTACTTAAATTTATATAAATTTCGGGGGGACGCTTAACAAGAAATGTATTAACGTGATATTCAATATAAATTAGTTTTTATTTGTCTTTTAAATGAAATATATAAAACAAAAACAACTTAAAAATTTAAATACATTTTTTTTAACAATAATTGATAATACAGTGTATAGTGTTACCTTACAACATCCGGCTATGAATTTCAATTTATTTTTACCGAGAAGGCATAATAAGTGTAGATATAATCATTTTTCTTAGAAGGAATTTGTTTTTACGTCCTATTAATATAAACTTTTTATTAACAAAATATAGCTGGCGTGTGATAGAAAAAAATAATGGTGGTGTAACTCATTAAAGACCTTCTGGACTTCTTAAAACAGTTTGGTTGGATATAGACTTTAGTAAGAACTCGGGAACTCTCCTAAATTATTGGTGACTATAGCCCCCCCTCAAAATTGTTAGTTGTTAATGTTAACATTTGCCATTTTCTATACACTATAAAATTTTCCAAAAATTTTGAGTTATTTTGAGCTCTTTAAGGACATTTTCAGTTTCCATTTTTTTTAGTTTTTTTTTCTATAAATATCAATAAAATTTTATTTGTTGGGTACAAAAGCTTAAAAATTTAATAGAAGGCTCCTAATATATTGTTTCAAAGACAGATGAAAAATATTAAAAATCCTTAGTCACAGATTTTGTTATAAGCATTTAAAGTTCAAATATTGACAAAATACGTTAACATGACGATAATTTTCAAATTATTTCGAGTTGGTTAATCTAAGATTTGAAAATGTAATACAAGATTCCTCATAAGTTTGTCAACCTTTATCAAAAAAAAAATGTCTACAAGAAACTGAAGAAACTCAAATTAAGTTTTTATGAGAGTTTGAAATTCATATTTTTTCAACATTTGATATTCACTCGATTTCTCATGCAACGATTTTCTAATTTTGTTGTAATTAAAAAACGAATGACTGTCGATACCTTAAAATTTCACTGAATGTTTATATTAGCATTTCCTATACACCATATAATTTTGAAAATATTTTGACTCTTTATGAGCTGTTTACGGATATTTTCAGTTTTCAATTTTTTTAATTTTTTTTCTATAAATATCAATAAAATTTTATTTAACTTGTAACCTACTGTACAGCTAAGCACCTTTTTTTATTTTGATGATATTATTATTGTTATTATTATTATTATTACTATTGTATTATTATTATTATTACTATTATCATTGCTACATTGTTTATATATATATTTGGTAAATATTGTTTAGTGAATGAATTCAGTCTTCAAAATATTGTACGGGTACCAGGGTCCTAGTCGGCTATACTCTTCGCCGCCGTCACGTTCTCGCGATACGCGTACCACCGCCGTGCAGTACAATTCCGCCGCCGCCGGTGCCTTCGCCGACGCCGCTATGAGTAGTATGGGCCCCTGTTAACCTAAAATCATTTGTGAGGTAACCGATAATCCGAAATGGCCACGGCACCAAGAAAAAAGATAAACCACTGCCAGGGCCACCGCGGCCGATGTAGCGCTGGCCACAGTGCCCGGTGGCCGAGTTCAATATATTTCAGTCAATTGTGGTGTTACTCTCTCGAGCGAGTTCGGCGCATAGATAATAAAATATTATCTATGGTTCGGCTCATCATCCGCAGATAATGAATTATAGATAATAAAATGTGTTATCTATATATTCTGTGGTATCATTCCAATGTCGACTGATAAAGTATAGTGATAACCACGACTGTCCGTGACACCGGGGTTTCGATTTTTTTTTTTATGAATGTCCATAATATTTTATTCGTTGGGTAAAAAAGCTTGAAAATTTAATACAAGGTTCCTGATATAATATTATTATAATATCAGTTGAAAAATATTAAAAATACATGGGCTCAATTTTTTTTTTATAAGCATTGAAAGTTCGGTTTTTGACAACATTTATCAAATTTAAAATTTAAAAATGATTTTGTAGCTAAAAATTACCTATTATAGGTCTATTTTTTTTTAATACCATAGATAAGTATATAATATTTCAGATGTCTTATACTCTTATACTTAGACTGACACACCGTCTCCTCTTAGAAACGTTTTTCTTATAGAATGATATTATATCATTGAATCAAAATTTAATACCATCCATTATAATATAGTGACTTACTTGTAACCTACTGTACAGCAGAGCACCTTTTTTATATTCAAATTTGGAGGATACTATATATTAAATAACCAAGAATAATGATTTAAGTTATTTTGTTGTCTTTTTATAATATTAATTAAACTTACCGGCTACCACATTAATAATAAGTAATAATAATATTAATATAATATAGAATATCCACACTGACAAACTGTCACCGCTCAGAATTGTTTTTCGTATACTTTATATCATTGAATTCAAATTTAATACCATCCATTATACAATGACCCACTTGTAACCTAAGGTACAGAAGAGCCAAGAGCGATATCCACTTACTCACCTTTTTTTTACTAATGTTTATATATGGTTTGCTAGATTAACGTAACTAAAAAAACATACATATTTATATTTTATAAATTCAATAAACATGTAGTTCAAAAAGTAATTGAATAAATAATCAGAAAAAATGAAAATGTAACAATATTGATTTCTAATTAAAAGTTATGACAATATGCATACAAGATTTGGAGTCATAAGAAGTTACATTTTAGTTTTAAGAATAAAAAAATCAATGAAATGGACTAAGAAAATGTGGCCTACCAATGAACAGTGAAGGTAGCCTGAGTAATGAGCATACACCAGTGACCAGTACACCACACATGGCACTAAAACCAATGGTTTTTGTTACCTATTCGACGCTAATTTAGTATACATATAGCATTGATTTTATAACATTTACACTGGGTGATCATAATGATGTACCTATTGTATAATAAATTTCAGCTAAACAAAATACAAAGTTTAATTATATAGGTACCCATATATAATAATAATATACTATTACTATAGTCTATAATACTATATAGTTAGGAGTGTTTTTTGGACGGTTAGGTATAATGTTGAATGCACATGCTTGTGGTGATGGTAGAGAGTTATATAACATAATATGAACAATTCAATTATAAATAAGAAAAGCGAACAAGAACTGAATAATCAATCTATACAATTAGAATACTAATTAATAATTATAACTAATATTCAATTGCAAAAGTTAAATATAATTCCTTATTATTTATTTAAGTATTGAAAATAACCAAATTTGAAATTTTTTTTAAATTTCTATATTTATATGATTCTCTTCTGTATAGAATATGTCCCTTTTTATATTTACCAACATTAAGTTGTAGTTATTTGGATGTCTAGATAATCTATGAATTTTTGACCAAACGCTTTTCTAGATTCTAGAATACTCCAATCTGACATCAAATAATCAATTTTCTCTTTTAAGTTTTTAATTATATAAACAATAGTTATTTTTTTATATACAGACTGAAATGGTAACACATCTAATAACTTAAAGTTTTCTTTAGTCAAACCATTTAAATCATTTTTACTTTAACATATCCTTAAATTTTTTCTTTGTAAAAGTTGTAGTGGTCTAGACGCATTTTTATTCAGTAAAAATTATCATTTTGACTATTATTTGATGTAACAGTATATTACAAAAATTAGAAACAAATTAGGTAGGTATCTACCTAGTCAATTGATTGTTTTTATTTCTATAAACATTTTTTATTACAAATTACCTATTTCAAGTAAATATTACTTAGTAAGTATTATTACGTATATTTACAAACAAAATTTTAAAATTACTATTTACAAATTTACAATAAAAATGGTGCATTAATATAAAACGATTTATTTGGTATATCATGGTAGAGTTGGGATTTATATGTTTCTACATACCGTTTCTGAGTACCTCATGCAGTCTTGTGAAACTGTGAAAGTAAAAAATGTAGATATAATAATATAATATAATATAGTACAGTATTATACAGTAGACAGTAGGTTAGTAGGTACTACGTAGTTTAGCCAGCACAGTTCACAGAGGCAGCTCCAGAGACATGATTAGGAGGTGACCAAGTCATAATTTTCAGAAAATGTCGATGATTTTTTTTTTGAAATTTTGTTTTTAATAGTATAAAATTTTTTAGAAATACAGCTTTTGGAGGGGGGGTCTTAGGGCCCCCCTGGATCCACCCCTGACGATTCAACGGATAACAGTCTGTAGTGTTTGGTCTGCGTAGACAAATTTCCTACTATAACTCAAGAGTTATCCTGGTGTACAGGAGAATTTCTTTACTGTTTAACGATTCTAATCATGACTAAATAATTTAGTCATTGAGTAATGAGTACTATTCTGTGCTTGGTCGAAGTGTCGAACAATAGAATATAATATTGTGATAAACTGATAAATGATAAGAAATAATTGTTTATCATTCATCACGTCGGGACTCGAGTTTCAAATGTTGGAAATCGCGTTTGTGATAAAATTTACCAGATGCATATTTTGTTTTTATTTTGAAGTATGCCCATTGCCCATTGTTGTTTCTGTGCACGCAATCGGATTGTATATAGTTAAATTTCAAATTATGTAAACATACGGTGTACCAATATTATGTTCATGAGTGACTCGAGTTTATCTTGGACGATGTTTTATTGAATTTTTTTGTGTCAATATCGCTCCGTAGAAAGTAAGTTACTTTGACTTAAAAGTCCTGATTTCAGGCATGCTTGCCATTTAAACGTATTTTCACTCGATAGGGATTTCAATGAAATCTTACGTGTTAAAATCTCATGTGTTTGTTCACATGTCACTATGTCACATCTAACAATTTTTACATTGCAAGTTGATGACATTTATAAATTGTATTTTTAATAGGTATTTAAATTTAATGGAATACCAAATTCTGTAATAATGTCCGGTGTAGGTATAGGTATATTTTAATAATCAAAGCTTGGAATGTTTATTACTAGCAGTGTTGGTTAGTAATGTAATACGAATTACAAATTACTGTAACAAAATTACTTTTGCAGTAACACTGTAGTAGATTTAATTTTATTTAAATTAATGCAATTGTAACAAAATTACTTTTTAAAAGTAATTTATATGGAGTAACGGGTTATTTTCCTAATTATTAAAATAAGTTATGAATGTAGAATGTATAATATAAACTATGGGCCAGGATATTTGAAAAAATTTAAAAATTAATAAAATTTATTTACGATTCCGAAAGATTTTATAAAAAATAATAACCAACAATATTATTAAAGATCCCATGAATTAATACTTGTACATTTTGTTCATGTATAACATTAAGTTATTAACAATGTACCGAGCAATGTACCTACTACCTACTTGTTATCCACTATGAACTGATTTTGTAAATATTTTTTAAAAAAAAGTAACTTATTTTGTAACACCCTATTTTTTTAATGAAAAATTTAAGTAACGTGATAAAAATAATGTCAGGTAACTCGAATATAATTCAAATAAAAATATTTAATGTAAATAAGTAACTTAATTGTATTACTTTTCAAAAGTAATTTACCCAACACTGAATTCATTAGTGTTTCCTAGGAATTTTTATACATTAATATATCTTTAACAGAATAATACTTTTTGTTTCAAGGTGTAATATATCCTTTCCTTTTGGTTTGGAAGAGATATTGGGAGAGTACAATTTATTTTAATTTTAATGTTAACATATTAATAGAGAGGTGTTTTGATATAATTATTTTGGGTGACTGTACGTCTGGTATGGTATAACAATTGTACGGGATTGTCCCCTTATTCAAAAAACTTAAGACAAGACACTTTTGTCCCATTTTTAGAAGTTAGGGCCATTATTTCATATTATTACATGTGTATAAAAGTAAAAAACCTTTACCTACATATATAAAACAAATATAAAATAATAATTTTACAGTTTTATATTGAATCATTGAAACCATTAGGTAAATAGTTATATGCAACAGATTTTGTATAATGAGTGTGGAGTAACAATATAAAATTGTCAGCAATGAGCATACTATGAGGCATGTCATATTGGTGTATTGCACAGTGTACCTAATATTAGGATCTCCCAAGACTGTTATCCTTTCCAACAATACACTTAATTTAACAGTAAAAAAATATCTTCTAAATATAAAAATAAATTACCATTTTACATTTTGGACGTACATTTTTTGAAGTTAATCCAAAATTGGTTATCCAGGTTTTTTTTAATATGGTAATCCCAAAATTTTATGATCGGTTCTTTTGAACTAATATGTTGTCTGAATACCAAAAGGACTAATTTTGTGAGTGATAAGTGATTTCAACAAATTGTTAATTTTTAATACCAGTGATTATGTTACACTAATCACTATATCAAAATTTGATTGTGGTTCATCATGTACCTACTAAGCAGATTAAATTATTTTAATATTAACAGACAAACACATATACAATTATGTCATCAAACTCAAGAAATACAATAGATGAGGCAGATTTAAAATCTAGACTGGCTCGCTTTGGTATAAATCAGCCTATTACAAATACAACTAGAAATGTTCTGCATAAGAAACTCTTAAAATTAGAAATGGATTTTGAAAAGGACAAAAACAATCAATCAATTAAATTTGGCTGTGAATCAATGGTAAATAAATACAATTTTAACACAAATTAATAATTTTAAAATTATTATTATGTCTATTTAACTTACTATATAACCAGCTATTTAATTACTGTTATACAAAATGGAATATACCTACACAATGACTTAATAAAATGGTATTATTGAATGTTTCCAAACGACTTATTCATGTCATTGGTATTGGTTACCTAGTTAAGGGCTTTTACGAATCATCTATAAATTTGATGTTTATGGTGGAAATAATATGTATTTTGTATATATTAAATAATAATATGGATATACCTTATTCTACTTAATACTCTTCACTTTTGTACACTAAGCTCACTCAGAGATAGACAACTCCTCACATTAACATGTGATTGTACTATTAAAATAATGTAGTAAATTATTAAATTATTAACCTACTTATGGTTAATTAATTGGCTTTATGCCTTTGGTTAAAAATGAAAGACTAAGCTTTCACAAAAACTCATTTTTTACTAACGTATGTATGTTTTGCTAAACCATAGTTAACTAAAAAAATCCTTTACATAAAATCAAGTAATTGAATTAATAATCAGAGACAAATTAAAATTTTACATTATTGATTTCTAATTAAAATTTATTACATACAAAATTTGGAGTCATTGATAAGATATTTTAAGTACATTTTAGTTAAAATATAAAAAAAATCAATGAAATGGATTAAGAATATATGGCCCAAGGTCTACCAATGAACTGTGGTACTATACTAGTAGGATTAATTAATTTTTTATGCACCACAGATAGCACTAAAACCAACTAAGCGTTTGTTACCTATACAGCTATACACATATTACATGTATTACACCTATACGCTATAATATCATTGATTTATAACAATTACTGGGCTTATAACTGGGTGATCACTGATCATAATGAATAATGATGTACATATATCACTGCTTTAGTAGAACACAATACACTTTATAATTATATGCTCATTTATATACTGTATTTGGTATATACTTGTATATATATTTGGTATATACTTTATATACGGTTTAAAGAAGATAGCTAAGTGTCTTTTTAATAATGACATTTTAATCCATTTAAAATTAACTTTAATATTTAAAATTTAAAAATGTAGTTAATAATAATTAATTTTTGTATTCACTATTAATAAAATATATTGTTTCTAGGACACTTCAACAAATGACCTGAACGAGTATGAAATCCGTGATGGAATATCCAAGCATGGATTAAATCAAGTTCCTCTGACCGATTCTACTCGTCCTGTAATAAGCAATATTATCAGAAAAAAAAATCAAAATTCTTAGGAAACCTTTCATTTATTAATTTAAAAATTATTATTATATAAATAAACTAGTATATGTTCTTAAAATGATTTAATAAATATATTTTATCATATCAAAATATTTTAATTTGTTATTATGAGCATAAATTGGAATATCTTAGAAATCATATTTCTATATAACAGATTAATTAAATTTTTTTATAACATATTATTTGCATGATTGTGTATTTGTATATAATATGTTACATTATAGTATCTACATTTGCATAATGTACAGTCATATAAAACCAAAATTGAGAACATTTATATTGGCTTTCATTTTGTTTATCTATACAAAAATAACTGCAGTTATTGTTAAATTGTGTGAATCTTCATTAAGAATAACAATGCACATTTTACCAATCTGATACTCAATAAATTATTTATATGATACTTGTATACTTAAGTACTGACTTAAGAAATTATACATTATACAGTAATATAAAAAATCTTCTGAGGGGGAGAAATTTCCTTGTTGTCCTTTCCCATCCTCCAAATTTGACATTGGGCTGGGGTCAATAATATATACTTATATATTCAGTATTGTAAATATAATCTATATAGTACAGTTAAATATTAGTATTACAATTTACTTTAATGCCAAATAAAATGTATCACTTATATGTTATTTTTATGTACTTTTAAATACAAGTGCCCTCCACCTCCCTGGTTTAGCTTCTGTACGAAATTTAACTGGTTTTGAAAAGTATTGGTCATCATAATTTATTATATGCAACATATTTGTATGTATGATCTATAAGTTATGTCTTATATTGATTAAACATTATTAAAATATTTTAGTTCATTAATTGATACATCATAGATAAATATTAAGGAGTTATATTCTTTAAAATAAAAGAAAATTAAATCTGAAATTTTGATGAGATTATCATATTTTCTGTTATATGGTCAAAATGCCTTTTGTGGATTTAGAATTTGATTTGTCTAAATTATTGAAATAATGTAAGTTAAATGTATGTTTAAAATATTATTATTTTTTACAGGTTACTGAACATTGATATGACAGATACAAATGACGAATTTTTAGTTGAAGATGATGAAATATTAGCTTCTATATTAGAAGAAAGTTTAAGGTAAATTTGAATGTTATCTTTAATATCAATAAATGTTATTTTTATTTTTATATTTATAATTGTTAGATTTATAATTGAAATACTAGTCATTAATAATATACCTTTGTTAAGTAGGTGCCCATATTTTTTTTTAGCAATAATATTACAAATTCACACATTAGAATATTATTACACACAGGAGAGAAATTTTTACTGCTCCATAAGGTCCCTAATTAAAATAACATAAAAAAAAAGTGAGAAGTTTACACTACTGTACAGTCTGTGTATAGTAGGTACTAGTTGGTTACTGTAATGGATGGTGTTAAATTTTAATTCAATGATATATGTATATACTATATAGGTAATATCATTGTATACAAAAAATGATTCTGAGTGGAGACGGGTTGTTGACCTAGAATATTTTATATTTTATTTATATTGTTATTACTAATATAGTAGCTGGTAAGTTGAATTAATATTATTTGTATATTATCATATTTGTATATATTAATACACCTACATTAGAAGTTTCAAGTAACCCCCGTATAATATTTTAAAATTATAACATAAATCTAAAATCTTTTGTCTTTGTCAAATATCTAATTTCATCAAAACTTGAACTTTCAATAAGTATAAAAAAAATCTGTATTAATATATTTTTTAGATTTTTGGTTACAGTATAAACTACTTACGAGGAACTTTGTTTTAAATTTTTAATCTTTAGCTATAAAAATTGAACATTTTATATATTTTTAACTGCAAAATAATTTCTAAATTTTCAATTTGATAAATTTTGTATAAATTTGAACTTTAAATGCTTATGAAAAAATCTTGCCCATGTGTTTTTAAACTGATACTGTTATAATGTGTGAGGAGCTTTGCATTAAATATTAAACCTTTTTGATCCAACAAATACAAATGTATTGATATTAAAAAAAAAAATTAAAAAAAATTAAAAATTGATAATGTTTATAAACAGCTAAACACTAGTCAAAATATTTTGAAAATTTTACCAAATATAGAAAATTAGAAAATGATAAAAATATAAAATAAACTTGTGGTGTACATTTTAAGTATCTACGGTTATTTGTTATCAATTACAACTATTTTGAACCTATACATAGCCATGATAATTTTTTTAAATGTTGTAAATAATTTTGTAGTTAGAAATACATAAAAGTTTTTCTTTTTATAGCGAACATTAGAAATTTTAATAGAAGGTTCTAAACAAGATTTTACCTCTGTTATAAAAAAAAAGTTCACCTGAAAGTCACACTATTTATAGCCATGGGATATTTTTGATTTTAGAAAATTTTTTTTTTTAAATATTAAATTTGATTATTTACACAAGTATGCTGGGCTGACACAACGTCCCCTCTCAGAATCATTTTTTGTATAAAATGATTTATTATTGAATTAAAATATAACACATCCATTACAACAACATGCTCGACAACTACTAGGAGAGCGGTACCTACTTATCCACCTTATTTTTTTAATTTTGAAGGGGTTTTAAGTTAATAACGTCAGTGTTTCTCTCACAAAATTATTTTATTTTGTTTTGAACACATTTTAAAATACAATTCCTATGATTGGGTATAGATTATAATGAATAAAATAATTTTAAATTAGTTTGGTTGCCATTGCCATTGTCTTTAAACAACATTAGACTTCTTTGATTCTCTGTCATAAATCTAATAATTTTTAATAATGTTGTCCTTGTGGCTATAAAAAATCACTCTTGGTTGATTTAATTTTCACCAATTTTACTAAAGCATTAAAAAATGTTGACCATCCTCCACATGAGTACTATCAGTTCTGACTAGCGTGTTGAAGCTAACCTAGTATTGCTCTGCAGGCTGAAAGGTTCTTCTCATTCAACAAGGTACAAAGTTTCTTTTACTGTCTCCATTTATATTACTAACTACGGAAGGAATCATTCAATTGCCTGTTTAGTGTGTGGGTAATGAGCATCACCTATTTTAGTGATTATTAATAATGAATATTACAGAATTATATCAGTTATATAAGTCTTAATTTGTGAAATCTTATTATTAATTAAATTTTTTCATGTCATAGAACATAAACGATTATTTATTTATAGCATAGTATATGTAATGTATTGAACTATTGTGCTAACACCTGTTAAATACTTCAATATTAAAATAATTAAACAAATTTGTTTTTTAATTAATATCAACACATATTTGTCTTATAGACATTACAATGAAGTGGAAGTACCGTTACGGTCTATTGCTGAGAATGAAGTGTCTCCTGCGAAGTCTATTATTAAAGATGAACTACCATCAGTACAGTACAAAGCACCACAACAGTCTAATTGCTCAAATTCTTTACCTAAATTAAGCAGGGTTGCACCACCAGTAGTAATAGACTTGTGCCAATCACCCAAGAAATGTACAACTGTCCAAAGTAGATTATCACATTTTTTTACAAAAACTAAAAGTGATAAAATATCTGATAAGGAAGAAACTAATAGTAAACTAGAAAATCAAACGGACAAATTATGTATTGAAATAAATTCATCACCAGTACTGAATAATAATGTCAGCATTAGCAGTTCGTAAGTTACTAAAAACATGTATTTTTCTTAATTATTTTAAATCTATTTCATTATCAATATACTATTGTAAAAACTATTCATTCCTTAGACCGGCGATTTTCTATAAAGAACCGGATGCAAATGGGTTTCATTTATCGTCTGGTTCACATTATGTGTACCCCTCAAATTTCCCAGTCAGAGAATATCAAATGGGAATCATCAAAACAGCTTTATTTCATAATACTCTCGTCAGCTTGCCTACAGGTATTTTTATATGTATAATATATTTTAATTTAATAAATTATTAAATTATTGACTTTTAATTTTCTAATATTATTCTAGGCATGGGGAAAACATTCATAGCTGCTGTGGTCATGTACAACTTTTACCGATGGTATCCAATGGGTAAAATAATATTTATGGCACCGACAAGACCATTAGTTGCCCAACAAATAGAAGCGTGTCACTCGATAATGGGTATCCCTAGGGAAATGACATTTGAAATGACTGGTTAGTTATGATAAATTCAGAGCATTTTATTATTAGTTATAAGAAAATAATGATTTATTTATTTGGGATCAAAACATTTCTAAGAATTTCTAGAGATTATTTGTTTTGGTTATTCATGATTTTATGTGAGTTAATTAAAATTTCATTTCACACATTTACCAAATCTGTGTTTATATTTTTATGAAAATATTAAAATATTTAATAATACTTAATTGTCTTAATTAAATTTTAGGTAATATCCCCCCGGAACAAAGATATTTAGCCTGGAATAAATACAGAGTCTTTTTTCTTACACCTCAAGTTCTGGCTAATGATTTGAGCCTTAATAAATGTCCATCAGATACATTTAGATGTATTATTGTAGACGAAGCACATCGAGCTACCAAAGATTATGCTTATGTTCAGGTTATTAAATATTATATAATATATATAACAAATAAATAATCATACAAGTTTGAGAAATATTAGCTTGATTATTGTTTTCTATTCTTACAGGTCTTAAAGCGTTTGGCAGAAGAAAACCGAGTAATTAGAATTGTTGGATTATCAGCTACTCCTGGAACTAATGTAGAAGCGGTCAATGAGGTCATACAAAATCTAAGCATATCAAAGCTAGAGTTCAGAACTGATGAATCTCCTGATGTGGCAAGATATACAAATAAAAAGGATGTTGAATGCATATCAGTGAAACTTACAAATACTATTTTGGATATACGCACTCAATTTTTAATGGTTAGTGTAGTCCAGTGTTTAATAATATTATAGAAATACATAGAAATCTTTAAAAAAAAATGCCGTAGTTAGCCAGAATTTTTTATTTATAAAACCACCTACATTGTAATTATTGTTTTAACACAATTCATTTCAGATTTACGATAAATACTTAAAACGTTTAAAACAGTACCATGCCCTCAATGGAAACGTTGCTAATCTAACAAAATTTCAAGTGAGTATTGTGTTTATATCATTGTAATTTGTAGTATAAAAATCAAAATATGTTTAATATATTTTGTAAGTAGTATTTTTAATAATTTTTTAGTTCAATGCAAGTTGTAATTTTTTCAGATATTCACTGCCAAACAAAAATTTTTAACCAGTAATAATGCTCGTGATATGCCAAAATCTCTTATTGGATGTTTAATAAATGATTTCACTATATGCATGTCGCTGGCATATGCTTTAGAGTTGTTGACAATTTATGGTGTCAAAGTATTTTATTTACAATCTTTAGGTACTTAAAGCATTTGATGTTACATAGTTTGTTTTAATCACATTTAATGTTTGGTTTTTGGTTTTTTTTATTTAGAAATGAAGGAAACTCATAAATGTTTATCAAATGATGCTGATTTTCGAAATCTCTTGCATGGTATTAACAAAGAATTAAATTCTCAGGTAATTTAGTTATAATAATTCATTTTAATTTTCTGGTTTGTTTTCAATTTAAATTATTTTATAGGACTTGACTTGGAGTCACCCCAAACTATTTGAATTGAAAAAAATTGTTCAAAACTATTTTGGCTACAAAAATGTAGAAGCAAGTAGCAAGATAATAATATTCTGTCAGGTAAAGTATTTAAATTTCAAATTTCTTTATTTAGTGGCCATTTTATATAAGATACTGTACATAAGATTGTATTATTGTGTTACCCATTAAAATACTTTTAAATTATTATGTTAATAGTATCGATTGGTTGTAGTAGAAGTATTTGAACTTTTAAAGACATTTGGTTCATCTGTGAAACCGGTCATGTTTGTTGGGCAATCTGTTAAGGAAAAAGGTGGTCTGCGGCAAAAAGAACAATTGGAGGTGAATGAGAATAAAAAATTATGTTATCCTAATATAATTTATAGTCATTGGATAAAATGTTGATAATTCAATTTTTTTGGAACAGGTAATGAGTCGGTTTAAAAGTGGAGATTTCAATGTATTAATTGCTACAAGTGTAGCTGAAGAAGGTCTGGATATTGGAGATGTTGATCTGATCATATGTTTGGAAGCCAATAAATCTCCAATAAAATTTGTACAACGACTGGGCCGAACTGGACGTAAACGTTCAGGGAAATGTATTACTTTACTGACTGAAGGAAAAGAACAAATTGTAAATATTTTATACAATATTATGTTTATTTTATTGATTAACTTTGAGTGTGCAGACCTGCAGTTGCCAGTTATTGACCATTAATGACATGTAAAACCAAACTGGTAGATGTTGGAAACCAGTAGTATTCTACCATTTGATTTATATGCTAACAATTTAGACAATAGCTAAGCTAAAATATTATTATAACGAGTATATCCTTTAAATTAAAATATGTTAAAGAATAATTATCTAAATAAATTTATTTCATTTTTATGTTTAGAAATACAATTCCAGCGTTTCTTCGAGTAAAACACTTGTAATCAAAATGTTGAAAAATAAAGCAATACTTTCCAAGTTGGCTCCTGAAGGACCAAGGTTGGTGCCAAAACGTGAGTGTATTATATTATTGTAAATAATAACTATTTAAAAAATGTATTAAAATTAATAATATTAACTATTTGGAAATAAGTTAACTTTGTGGTATATTGGACAAATAAATAAAAATCTTCAATGTTTTTTAGATATCCATCCACAATGTTTAATGATTCATGTAAAAGAACCAGAAGAGCTTTTTCCGGAAAAGAAAAAACTTAAAGGCAAGAGAAAAGCAGTTGAAAATATTATGCGATATGTAGAACCTATTGATGGCCAAAACGAAGTAGACGAAGACAGAGAAGACGGACTCGATGTTTTCCAAAATAATATAGGTATAAGTCTTAGAGAACATAACATAAATTATCAGTTATTTCATAAAATTATAATTACTTCTTGAACACATATATTAGTTATAAATAGGTAGTAATAATTATTTAATATTATAGACTATGGAGTCCAGTCTTGTAAAAAATACTTTTGAAAAAGTATTAAGATACTAATACTAGTATTCGAATAAAAAGTATTAAAAATACTTTTAAAATACTATTATAAAAATGAATTTTACGAATACTCACAAAGTATTTTTTTAATTTTATGCTATACAATATATATATATGTATATTGTGTATTGTACACCAGTATAGGTACCTATTATGTTACTACTTACCATAGATCTTAACAATTATTATTTACTATAACATGTCTGACTATTTAGAGATAAATAGTAAATACATGTTCACATATTTCATTCTGCATTCAGATATATAAATAAATTTCAATTAGTATTGATTAAATTTTAATGAAAAAAATAAAATAAAAAGTGGAATGAACTTATTAATATGGAACTATTTTAAAACTATAGATTTTTAGTTTTCTTAAAAAATTCCAATACAGAAACCATATAAAACATTGTTATTACCTATTTTTACTATACAAAAACATAATATTAGTTTTCAACGAGAAAAATATTATTATTATTGATGTCAATTTTTTGTGAAAAATAATAAATTAAAATTATAAATCGGCTTTATGGTATTTTAATACAAGTATTTAAATTTTGTTAAAAATACTTTTAAAAAGTAATTCAAAATACTTAAAAAATACATTAAAAAAATTGTATTTAGAATACCATATAAATACTTCAAAAAGTATTTAAATACTTGTATTCGAATACTTTACAAGACTGCAGTATGGACCTATAGTAACTAAAATTATAGCTTTGATAATTGTTATTCTTTTTAATAACTTATTTCACTAAAATAGTTATAAGTAACTTATATTATATAATCATCAAGGCAAAACACCCAGTTTTTCTGTGGTGGTAGGGAGGGGGCGAAAATATAGTATAATGTAAGCCAGAATTCTTATGAGATTCTATATTTTAAGCTTACCGGCTTCTTATATTCAGATGCTACTGTAGTATTTAATTATCATAGCTTCAATAATATTAAAATTTAATATTATTAATATTCTCTAAATATTTGAAAAAATAATTATATTTTTATTTGTACTCAATATTTTCTATCTATTATTATTTATAACATTTTAAGTATTATTAAGATACTTGACATCTTCTACTTATTCTTTTTTTTCATCCTTCAATAGTTCAATACCATTTATATGGGGTCAGTCGCCTTTGTCCTACATATCCACAGTGATCTGACACTCTGTGCCCTACATCTTCTTTATTCTTATCAGCTATTTTTATGTTATTCTATAACCATATCTTTTTTAATCTTTTTCTCCCTCTCTTTTCTTCTACTTTCATTTTCATAACCACTCTCACTACCTCAGAGTCACCTCTATGCATAACATGACTGAACCATTTTAACATATTCTCCCTTATTTTGTCTAAAATTGGTACCACTCCTACACTACCTCTTAATGAATTAATTTCTTATTCTATCCTCTCTAGTCCCTGCACACATTCTCCTTAGCATTCTCATCTCTACTACAGTCACCCTCTGTTCTGTTTATTGTCTAGCATTCCAATCCATACAATATGATTTGTCTTACAACTACTCTATAAAATCTGCCTTTTAATCTTAACAGCATCCTAGTGTCTCACAAAATACCTGTAGTTTCTCACTGTTTCATCTATCCATACATAATCTTACTTTGTACGTCATCCTTAAATCTACCTTTCTTTTATAACACCAATCCTAAATACGCTTTATCATCCCCCAATTTGTAATTTTGTTCATTTCTAAGTTCAGACCTATAACCTTTTCAGAATAAGAAAGGTACTGGGTGGCCGACTTGTGCGTCATTTCAAATGACTAACCCGGTGGTTGGTTTGGTGAGAGAAGCATCTGATGAAAACCAGTGGTAACCCGGTACCTTTCATTGTTTCTCCACATACACTCTACAATTTATATTAAATTTCATACAATAAAGGATATATTAATACAACAAATGTTTTAGTATAAAATATTATGGATAATGGTCATAAAATAGTATCTTAAACATAAATAATATATATTTTTTTTATTATAAAACTATGTAAGTAACTCTTTACTATACAAAAAAATGTAATCTAAATAGATTAAATAAAATATTTAAGCTTATATTTTGAAGAAATATGTTTATTAATTTGATGTGTAAATGTCTTATGTAATCATATATCTAATACTTACTCAAATTTAATGATTTTATTTATTTAAATAATTATAAGCTTGATCTTAAACTAGAGAACAATTATAAAATAATAAGACCATGACATTTAATAATCTAAATCAATAGTATTAACAACTTGTAGTAACATTAAAAATGATCATATTAATACAATTACTAAACAGTCTAATCTTTGACTCACTACCTCCAAATGGTTATTATAATTATATTATAATGGTTATATATTATAGTACATTATATACATAAAAAAAAACAATAAATAAAGGTAGTAAGTCCTCTGTATTGTAATGTTATATGTTACTTATTATTATTTTTTATATGAATATGACTAATATGAGGTATCTGTAAATAGTTATATTATGTGGAGATAGTGTTAAACACCAAATAGGTATATTTTATAATGAATAATTTGTATTTTTTCTACTTTAGTGTTAATTTGACAAGTAGTATTCAGTAATCAGTAGTGTAGTAATAAAAGTGTTGCAAAGTTTGATGTAACATTTGTTCATCAACTGTTGGCTCTAACTTAATATGATCCATGATTAGACGTTAAGCATCAGCCCACATTCAGGCTCTTTATCTTATATCTGATCATTTTTCTAGTGAAATGAGAAATTGAAACGAAAAAAAAATATTGATGTATATAATATTTAAAATATGTTTTAGATAAACCGAAAAGAAGATCTAAAAAACGAAAAACCGTCAAATTGCATACAAACGATAATGGCTGTACAGAAATCGAATCGTCCGAACAAAAAAATACTGACATAGATTGCGAACATCATTTGAATGATTACTATTATGAAGCATCTGAAATCAACGTGCAAGGTGTAACCGATAGGACTTTGGACCACTTTGTCGACGAGGAAAAAGTGTTTAACGAATGGCTTAAGTCGTGCATGCAGACCAATACCATAGTGTTAAACAGCTCGTTTTTGGAACTGTTAAATTTTTTTACTGATCGTGGACAATGTGATATTGAACTTTTCAACGACAAACCGACAGACGACATGTTTACAGGGCAGACTCGCGTTGGAAAAATATTTGAAGGTCCGTCGGTCAGTGGAGAGCACACGGTCCGCTCAAACGATCAGCCAATGAGAAATACCGATCATTTGTCCCGATTATGTGATGATGTACGACCAGGTGGCTACACAGGTTATTCACAAGTGGCCAGCACATCCGCAGCTCGTGAAATCAACGACTACAAGGAAAATACAGACCCTGAGGACATGTTTGACGGACGCACTACTGACCACTCGACTTTCATTCGACCGATCGGTATAAGAACGTCGGAAATTTTTGATCGTAGCCACGAGACGAAACCCGACCAAAACAGCCGTACGGGAAAATTAAATTTCAACGATCTGTTCAAAAGCCAACTGGCTGACGGGTACATAGATGATTTCATTGTTGGGAATACGAGTCTTCCAGTACGCCCGCTCTCTGTAGACGTAGACGACGACAATTCTCCAGCAAATATCGCTACCGGAGTCGTCGTATGTGACGACGACCAAGATGAAGATGATGAAGATATGGGAAATGTTGATTTCGAAGAACTATTCAAGAGCCAGAGGGCCGACCGGTTCATCGAAAAATACAGCGAAGAAATCGCCGCTGAACGACCCAACGATGATCATTTGTCGGTCGTGAGTAGTGGTGGTAGCAACAAAGCCGAAACGTGCCAAGAAGAAAAAAATGACTTATTGTTTGATAACCAAAGATCCGACGACGACGACCAGGACGAAGCCGACAAAATAATGGGGAATATTGATTTAAACAAACTGTACAAAAGTCAGAGATCCGACAATTGTATGGAAAAGGAAATCGCCGCCAGACGACAGAACGTTGATCGATCGATCGCCAATGGTGGACCGAGGAGTCCGGTCATGTCTGTTGGTGGGAAAAAGGCAGTGACATCCGGTCACCAGCCGACCGGAAAGATGGACTTCAGTGTATTGTACAAAAACCAAAGATCTGACGGGTACATTGAAGACTTCATGGTGAGAAGCACGGGACCCCGAGTCCGGCCGTCGAATGCAGTCGAGTCTATTCCACATCGATGACGATCAGGAAAATGACGACGAATTGATGGGGAACATTGATTCCGAAAAACTTTTCAAGAGCCAGAGGGCTGCCAAGTGTATGAAAATTGACAAAGTATCTGCCAAAAGACCGAACATAAACAGTGGCCGGAGAAGTCCCATCGTGTGTGGTGGAGCGTTGGATAAAGTCGACTACAATGCACTGTTGAAGAGCCAACGGAGCGACGGGTACATCGAAGACTATACGGATAAGTCCGTAGCAAAAACCGCGGGTGAAAAGTTCGGAGTGGCGGATGATTGGCAGCCCTCGGATGTTGTGGTTGAAGACGACGACGTCATTTCCTTAAATAGTTCTCCAGAGTTTTTCAGCTGCAGACCGTCAAAGAAGGCCACCCAGACGAAACTGACGGGCCATGTTCGTACCGACCGCGTAATCGATATCATCGACTTATCATCGCCTCCACCAAGCTCGTCGAGTACCGCAGCCGCATCCGCCACTAGTCTGCCGATTGCAGTAGACAGACCGACCGACAACGTCTCGACCTCGCGTGTTGGCGGTGTTGGTCTGCTGCAGCAGACGAACGATGACGACGACATGGATTTTATGTTCATCGATTACAAGAGCGACGGTGATGCTGCTGCAGATATTTTTACGCAGAAACACAGGGATGAGGTCGATGAAGACGTTTTTACTCAAAAACACCGGGACGGCGGCGATACGGACTTTTTCACACAGAAAAAACGCGACAGCAGCGGGACGAAGGCCGCGGTCAGTCTACCGTTATCGCCCGTCGTTTCTGCAGCGAAACCACCTCTTAAAATTGACGTGACAAAGCGTGTCGGCCATTCCACACAATCGTATGACAACGGCATGATGCCATTCAACATCATGAAAGCTGCACGTCTTGTTGATTTGCTTAAGCCGGGCTTGAGCATGAAGAGGAACACGACAGCGGCGGCATCTAAACGACAAGTCGACAAAGTCTCCACAGCGGTTGCGTTCAAACGAAAGGTCGACAACGGCTCGCCGGTGGCTGTGCTTAAACGACAAGCTGATCAAGGATCTACCGGAGGCTTTACTCAAACGGCAAGTCGATAAAGGCTCGCCGGTGACTGCACTCAAACGGCAAGTTGATAAAGGCTCTCCGGTGGCTTTACTCAAACGGCAAGTCGATAAAGGCTCGCCGGTGACTGCACTCAAACGGCAAGTCAATAAAGGCTCGCCGGTGGCTGCACTCAAACGGCAGTTCGACAACGGCTCAATGGCGGCATTGGCGTCGAAAAGAAAAGTCATCAACGGCCGAAGTCCAGCCGACGACATGTCGCCCATACATGCTCCGAACGGCCAGCGTCGGCGTCCTCAGTTTTCGCAGTCTACACCCAAAGTTACCGAGCAACCGAAACAACGGCGACGAGAAACCGATACCACCTCTACCACTACAGTTACCATCGCCGGAAAAGTCAACTCTCTGTTGACGTCAAGCAGTGACTCTGACAATTTCGTCGGCTACGGGCGCATCGAAAATACGACCAGCCCGCGCCGACGAGTCAAGAAAAAACGCCGAAGGAAACCGAAAAAGGTCAGTATACTAATGACTAATGAGTAATGCGATTATTAATTGACTCACTTCATCGTTTGCAAATATTCCCGCATAAGGCTAAATATATAATAAGTAGTGCCTGGTTTTAAAACTTAATCCAATAATGCTCTAAAAATGTTCAAAAAATGTAGTTTAATCACAATATAGTGTCCTTAAAATTGTCCTTCAATTTAAAAATGGATATAATGTTTAAATATGCACTAAACATTAATAAAATTACCTACAATTTATAAAAAATGCAAAATAAAAGTTGAAGTTTTAAACTCTGTGATGTATTCTATGAAACGGGTTTCGTACTCAAAAAACATTGCCTGAGACTTCCTAAACAATAATGCATTTTACAATCAAATCCGGGCACTAGTAATAAGATATATAAAATAAATATAGGTACCTATAATATCATAATAGTTACTATTCACTAATACACATTTTTAATATAAATTACTTAAGGACATGTTTAGACCCATTTATGAAATAATGTCTTCAATAAAAATAATCTCAGAATTATTATAGAGATCATAGGTGTTATCAGAATCATCTGGTTTACTAAAAATAATTTATTAATTAATTCAAGCTACTAAAACATACTTAATCAATCATATCCAGTAAGTTTTTCTTGCATATTGTTTTAAATGACAATATTTTCTTCTAAAAAAGAGTCTAAAAGTTTGTGGTAGGTACTATTGTAAGTAGAGTTGTATATTGAGGTACTTGGTAAAGAATTTATATTCTTGTTTTGATTCCACTGATTGGATTAGATTAAAAAATATTGTAAATAATATGTACCTAATTAAGTTAAGATAAATCGGATGTGTTACCCTTCTTACTGGTATGACGTTTCTATATATGTACATATATTTAGATTTTTTAATTATTATGTTATTTTTGTGTATTCATCATCACGTTTTGTAGCAGAAATGTTGCCTTAATCTTTAACTTTGGGTGATTCAAAGTTTGCAATATAAGATATTTAAATTCAAAATAAACTAATGATTTTCCTGATGATGTAATTCAAAAATATTAATGTTAAAATCTTGAAACATTTCAGTATTACTTAGATTTTATGTATAATTTTCTTTACATAGTGAAATGTTGAAAATGTTTGGATTAAATTTTAGTTATTCATATAAAATATATTTTGAAATGTTCGACTTTTTTTCTTCGATTTATGTTAATAACATTTTTATTTTTCTGTACAAATAAAATACATTGTAAGTAGCTCATAAATGATTGTTCTTAAAGCAATTTAAAAATATCAAAAATATAGTATAACAATTTTTTTTTAAACGAAAAATAACATTGTTTCCTTTTGGTTATATTGTTTTAATTCAAAAAGTATTAATTTTAGAGAATTGAAACTTTTACCATTAAGAAATTTTCTATTGAATATTTGAATTAAAGTTTGAAAGTCTTAAGATTATTTGAAGCTATTTATATTTTATATTGCAAACATATTTACACCATTTTATGGTGCGTTGGTAGTAAGTTATAAGTTACACTATGTAGGTACTATAATAATATAAGTTAAGTATTTACCTATGTGTTATGCTTTTGGCAAACATTATTTTAACCTGCCGAATTAAGAAAACATTAATAATAAAATATGTACTTAAATATAATATAACATACACTATATATCCTTAGAATCAGATGAGGATATATCTTAAATATAGTTTTCAGAGGGTTGTAACTTGTAATGATTATAATTGATATTTGATTATTTAAAAATTTTGAATATTAATCACAGTACTTAAACTGTTGTTGATTTTTAAATGTAATATTTTATTAAACTTTAACATGGTAGGTAACTTAAAAAAAAAATTTATTCAATAGCAGCTTAAATATTCAGTAGAAGTAGCTTAACGCGGGGCTTAACGTGACATCAAAGATACCACATAGTTTGGTTGTATTAATATTTTATAGTAATAATAATAATAATAATAATAATAATAATACTTGTGTGAAATGTGAAATGTATGATTATACTTTTAAGATAAGTAGGTAGATAGGTTGGTAGGTTGATAGGTTGTATAAAACAATACACAAAAAACATAGACAATTCAGCTGAGAATTGAGATTTCTACTGCATATATTATACTAGCTGTCCTGCACGATGTTGTCCTTGCCAAAGATATATATATTTTTTTAAATATTTGTAAACAATGTGTGTCATATAACATATTTCTACTAATAAAATTATAATAGTATGTAATGCAATATGTAACCAATAGCAACCATTGAAAAAACCAAAAATAATATTGGTTTTTCGTGAGCTGTATGTGAATATGGAAAATATGTATATAATATCATGTTATTGACTGTATATTTCATTTGACGTAGAAACTCTTGTTCATCGATGACGAAGCTGATGTCAGCAATTGCTACGGCGACGGTACTAATTTCAGCAAGACTAGCTCCGACAACGACGACGACGACGATAACGATGATGACCAAAACGAATTCGATTCCAGTTTCATCGATGATGATCATGAAAAGTCCGATCCATCGAAGAGCATGACCAAACAGTATTTACAATCGGTCAAGTATGTGTTACGCAGTATTATTATATTTCATATTATTATGAGCCGTTATAGTGTGTATGGCGTACGCACAAATAAAGATAACATTTAGTTTTAGTGTACCTATAGTAAGTGCTAAGGAGGTAGAAATGGTGATTAAGTCACCTCAATTTACGGTAGTGGTAGCTGGGTTTAAATCACAAAAACTAATAAATCGATTAGAATGACGTGCGGCTTAAACACTTCGACAACCTTTTCAGTCAAATGATTAGAAATAGGTTATAATTTGTATATAATAAATTGAAAAATTTTCGTTTAGGAGCCAGGCCAATACTCGCGGAGTTTTTAAGATACCTCAGCTAACGAGACAGCATTTCAACATCGACGTTTACTCTCAGATGGATGACAGGAACTTGGATAATAACTACGAAGAGGTAATATGATGGTTTATTGCTTACGCATGTTATGTTTTTACACATAAAACCATTTCAAAGTTCTAATTACCTAACTACTTTAAACTGTTTAGTTTTATTTGTGTAAAAAGATTTATTTTTCTGTGTTAAAAATGTATTTAATTGATTTCGCTGTAAATCAAAACACTAATTTAATCTCTGAAACGTTAATTAATATTATTAATTTCAGTATCATTCTATTATAATATAATTTTACATCGCAGTTGTTTAAACAAAATTCTGCCACTTTTTTAAATACGTAGTGTACCGAACACTTTTTCGATTGACATCGCGGTGCCCACTTCCCACGATCCGCGTCCCACCGCGATCGTGTATGAATATAATAATATCATTGTTTATAGTATATACATTATAGTTGCATCATGACAATATTCATTAGTTTAATGTACAAAAAATAATACCAATGATAATAATAATGGGCCACTAAA